CTTAAATACCGCTGCCTGGGCGACTGCTTCAAACCATAAAGAGATTTTCTGAGCTTACAAACCAATCTTTCTCTGCCCTTCACTTGTTACCCCTCGGGTTGTCTCATATAAATCTTTCTTTGCCCTTCACTTGTTACCATGAAGGAATGCAGTCTTCACGTCTAGTTGTACCAATTCAAGGTTGAATTGTGCAACTAGGGCAAGCAATCGCCCCTTATGAGCATATCCCCTTAACTACAAGAGAAAAAATCTCATTATAATCTATTCCCTCCTTCTGAGCATATCCTTTAGCCACTAGCCTAGCTTTAAATCTTACCAAGCTCTTGTCATCCACTTCATCCTTCTTTGCATAAACCTATTTGCAGCCAATTGCTTTCCTTCCTCTAGGCAGCTCCACCAATTCCCAAGTCTTATTCTTGTGAAGAGAGAACATCTCATCGTCCATTGCATCATGTCATTTATACTATTCTTCACTATTTACTGCTTCTTCAAAATTAATGGGAATTTCAGCCTTAATTACTGGCAATGCATATACCATGTAAGCCATGCAATCTTTATATCCCGCAGGTAAGGATATGTCTCTTTTTCCCTTCCTTTTGGCCATGAAATCATCTTGTATCTTTAGTTCTTCTAATGGTGTTTCTTCTTCGTGATCACTTTCTTCATGTTCAAGTTAATAACCTTGTCTTTCTTCTTCCACAGCTTCCTTACTTGGCTGTGAATTCACAATTACTTGTTCCCCAAGCTCCACCATTTGAACATTTTTCGTCAATTTCATATGACTTTCATCAAATATCACATCTCTACTTACTATAATCTTGTTCAACACACCAAAGTCTAAAGCCTTTCACACCATTATTGAATCCCATAAAGACAACTTTCCTGGCTTATGGATCCAGTTTGTTTTCCTTCACGTGAAAATAGGCATTGCATCCAAACACTTGTAGCTTATTGTAGTCTTGAGTCAGTTCTCCAAAACACACTTCAATGGGTGTTCTACCCTCCAATGTTGTTGATGGTAGTCGATTAAGCACATGACATGCATAGCTTAAAGCTTTTGCCCAAAATCTTTTTGGAAGCTTAGCTTGAGATAGCATGCAACAAACTTTCTCGAGCAAGGTCCTATTTAGTCTCTTTGCAATCCCATTCTACTGTGGAGGTATGTCTAACACCGAAATGCCGAGTAATCCCTTCCTTTTTACACACTTTGAAGAAAGGATCAGAGGTATATTCCCCTCCATTGTCACTTCTTAGTATCTTAATCTTCTTTCCAGCCTTGTTCTCCACCATGTTCTTCCATTCCAGGAAGATTTCAAGAACCTCGTCCTTTCGTTTCATCATATATATATCCATGAACTGTGAGTAGTCATCAATAAAAGATACAAACCATCTTTTTTCAACCTAAAGAAGCATTCCTTGCAAGCCCCCAAACATCAGAGTGAACATAGTCCAAAATCCCCTTCGTTTGATTAACAGCTAAGCCAAATTTCACCTTTGTTTGTTTGCTAAGAACACATGTGCTCACATAACTCTATCCTTCCAGTTTTTTTTCTCCTTTTAAACACCCTTACTTGATCAATCCTTGCAATGCTTTTTATCCTACATGTCCCAACCTCATGCGCCATAATGCATACAAGTCACTTTTATCACTTTGCACTTCATCAGCTACCATAGCCAATCTGAGGCCTTTTCATTATGACAAGTGCTCCATTAGCAACTTTGAGCACGTTGTCATCGGAGTAAAACTTGTAGCCTTGTGACTCAAAAGTGCTTAGTGAGATCAAAATTTTCTTTAGATTTGGGGCGTACCTTACACCATGCATTTCTCGAATCACACCAACATAATGCTTGATCCTGATGCTTCCAATTCCTTGAGTTGTACATGGGTTATCATCTCCCATATACATAGTTCCATTCATAACTTTGAAGCTTGAAAACCAATGCCTTTGAGAAGTCATGTGATGGGTACAACCTTTGTCGAGCACCCACTCTTTCATATAATCCACAGTGCTCGATGCAGTTTGGGCATAGACAAATTCCTCATCCTCGACTTTAACCCTATTTGCTTCTGAGTCATCCTTATTCTTTCTAGTCTTTTCTTTGATTTTAGGGCAGTCCTTCTTCCATTGTCTTTTTCATGACAAAAAGCACACTCATCTTTGTCCAAAAACTTCCTATTCTTTTGAGACTCCTCTAGTACGAGACTTACTATTTTTCCTGTACGAACCTTTCTTTTCTTTCGATCTCCCTCTCACCATCAAAGCTTTAGAGTTATTCCTTTCTTGCTTGTCAAGGTGTCTCACCTCATGTTTCATAAGAGCACTTGAGATTTCATCATACTTAATTGTCTCCCTGCCATAAATCCAAGTAGTCATGAAAGGCTTGTAGGATTCAAGCAATGGTTTCATCAGGATCAAGGCCTTGTCTTCATGTTTGATTATGTTTTCAAGATTTGCCAGTTCAGCTAGAAGCTTGTGAAACTCTTATAGATGGCCAATCATCTTCATGCCCTCTTTGTACTAGAACCTGTACAACTTGCTCTTGAGAGGCAGTCGATTCTCTGCACTCTTCTTCATATATTTTGTTTCCAATGCAGCCCACAATTCTTTCACAGAAGTTATGTTCATCACACCATACTTTTGTTGCTTTGCCACGCATAATCGAATTGTAAAACATGCATAAGCATTCAATCTTTCCCATTCTTCTTTTTTTCATCAAAAACGACATGTCTCCTAACACAACAACCAAACCTTGTTGTATCAAGACATCTCAAACCTCACATTGCCACATAGCAAAGTTGTTCGTTCCATCAAATTTCTCAATTTCAAACCTAGCACTTTGAACCGTCATCTTGGTTCCACTAGTGCCATACTTTTCTTCGACATCATCACCACTGGTAGAATCACCAGTCTTCATCATTGCTGATAACTCATATATTTCAGACATTTAAACCATCCATTCTTAGTCCCCTTGTGATATTTTTGAGTTGAACTTGTTGCATTTTACCCTCTTTTGTGTTAGTGTGCACCTAATCGTATTTTGGAGCTCAGTTGAGGATAGATAAGGCAAAATAGTGCTAAAAGTGGAGAATTGAATAAGGATGCTGATGTAGACAAAGAATTAAAAGTGGAAACTGAATATGGTGATGAATATGGCTCTTTATAAGACCAATAACAACAAAAAAATGTAGGAATTAAATGCCCAATTACTGGGATGTATTGGCAATCTGTAACAGCTCTTTAACATTATAAAACCGAGCCTTCCAGCCATTTTCACGTACACCTTTCATTCTGAGCGAATTTCACAACTCCAGTCACTATTTTTCTCTCTTTTCATCCACACTCAAAACTCCACCCATTCTATACACTCCAACATCACCAAAGACTCATCCCGACAAGCTGTTCTTGGAAAAGTTCAACATTAGAATTGCTTTAAGGGTTTCCTCTCTCTTTGATTTATTTTCACTCATGTTGTGTATTTCCAATTTCATCTCTGTGAACATGATGTGTAACTAAATTCATAGCTAGGGATTTTGATGTAGCATTGCACAATTGATCCATGCTTTTATGTTAAAATATTCAATTCATCAATCTATCTCTTGTTTCATTCACTGAATCTTTTGTTAAATTTGTTTGTTAATTTTAATGATTGATCACCATTAGGATTTCTTACATATCATTTGATCACGATTATAGTGAACATATACTTAATCTTGGTAGACATGTGAATGAATGAAGAGAATGCTATGTAAACATCCTGCCATGTATTTTCATTGGTTCTTTAACGTTTTCTTCCATGATTAAGACTCTTAATTTGGAACCAAAGTTGAACATCCCAATTAGGTTGTAGATTAGGAGAATTTGATCAAAACCACACATCATATGGCTAATCATATATATGTAAAACGAACTCTGGAAACTGGTTGGTAATTGAATACTGTTTAATTTTATAAACATGGAATTGGTTTTGTAATGGTGAACTCAAAATCCTTGGCCCCATCCTCATTGTTTCTCAATTAATATATAATTTGCTATTACATTTTTCTTGCATTTTTAGTTATTCTCATTAACAACACAAAACCTACATTCAATTTGTTATTTTCATTGTTTAGTTAGGGTTCTTTCAAGGCTAGTAATTTATAGAGGTCTAATCAGCCTTTGTGGTTCGACATGCTTACTTGTGCCATTATACTAACCATATATTGCGCTCGGAAGGAACACAACAATTGCTTGATGGTCACAACCCATGTAAGAACCTAAGCTCTAATACCACTTGTTATAAACTAAACCAAAAACCAATCATGCAATAAACAAAACACAACGATTTCAGAGTTAGGAGTATAGTGTACCTCTCTAACAACAGAAGCTTTATTGATTACCAACAAATACAAAAGAACTCACAAACACAAAGTGTTCTCAAGTATACAAACTTATGCCTCTCAAAAACTCTCACACACAAAACTCTATCCTACATCCATCTATTTATACTAATAGATGTCATAGGTTTACACAAAGTCCCTAGAATATAGGAAACCAAATCCTATACTAAAACCAAATCCCAAACCAACTAGGAAACACAAATACAAATATCTTGCGTCCAAAATATCATAATCCTTTTTAGTTTAGGCATGTTGATTTAATGCCAAATTCAACACTAGTATAAATTAAAAGGAAAACTAACGAAAAGTTCTAAAAAAATTTAGTTTTAATAACAAAAAAAAAAGACAAATAAAGGTGTAAGTGAATAGTAACAGGAAAGGTAAAATTTTGGTTTTTTGTTAAAAATAAACAGTACTAGAAGTGTTTCGTTAAAATTCCCAGAGTCATAACTCAAAATCCCTACAACCATAACCGTACCAAGAATAATTAAGGCAGAATAAGAAAACTATTATCATTAATTTGTCAATTAATCAATAAAGAAACACAAACCGATTCAAACATTATATATATCTATATATATATATTGGTCCAGTATTTCCAAGAAGAAAATACATTGAATCAGAATCGGAATATCTGACCACCTCAACCAACAGCATGGCAAGCTTTGGAAACGCGTTTGTGATGCCGGGGTTGGTGTTAGCAGCAATCATCGTCGTGTCATCGGCGAGACTTTCATCTGCATCTGAAGACGTTTATGGAAATTATGCTGATCGTGATGAACCATCATCAATAAGCCCTAGCCCTAATCCTAGCCCTAGCCCTAGCCCTAGCACCACAGAAGATATCAGCAGCAGCAGCAGTAATTTCCCAGATGTGCTGCCGCCGGAGCCCTCCCAGGGATACTACAGGCATTTGAGGAAATGGGCAGACGAAATAAGCCCTCTGTGCGCTGAACAGATCTTTGAGGGTATGTTCTACAGCAACGAAGAACTGACTGAGGATTGTTGCGCAAACCTTTTGCATGTGGGATACGAATGTCACCGGGTGTTGGTTAAGCTAATCCTCCTAGAACCGACGTTCAAAGGCAAAGCTTCCGAGGCATTGCACAAGAGTTTCCAAATATGGAGCTAGTGTGTCGTAGTCGTTCATCAAACCGACTCACCTTCCCCTACTGCTGCCGCTGTTTCTAATTAAATTTCTTGTTTTCTTGCACTTGAATCTACATGAACATGACGATGATTTAGTCAGCTAATATAGGACTTATCTGAATTCAAAAAAGTAAGCTATACTAAAATAATTAATTAATTACATTATCTTTTACTTCTTAAGGAATAATAACGACTTGTCTATGAATAAGGAATAATATCGCTTGTTAAAAAAAAAAGGGAACTTTAACGAAAAGCACCCGGTACTGTTCACTTTAACGAAAAATCCACATTTTTACACTAAAAAGTCAATCCTGGTACTATTCACTTTACCCTTTATTTTGTCCTTATCATTAAAACTCAAAGTTTTCAAGCCCTTTTCATTAGTTTTCCTAAAAAAATAAGGACATGTCTTTGAATGTCATGGATGGTTTCCTAGAGAAATCCTTATATAAGAAGTTGTTCATTCATTGCCTATTGAGAAATAGACATAGAGATGGAATAAAGGACATATGGAGAAGGATGGGACCTTTTCTCGAAAAACTCTGGATCCAGAGAAGAGTTGAAGATGGTGCAACATCAAATCCCATTTCTCGTGTTTTTTGGCTTAACATTTATAGATTTGCTATGAAACTGACAGAGATTTAAGTGCGAGATTTGTTTTGCATTTGCCTCTTCAAAAGTTCATTTAGAAGAAAAACAAAGAAAATAAATTTCACACTTGTTTTCTCTTTCTGCATAGGCATATGTTAATGGAGAGGAGTATACTAGGGAATCAAGTAGGGGTGTGAAAACCGTTTCCCTCCCGTTCTATAGGAGATTAATAAAGTTCAACCCCTTTTATCCTCCTCTCTCCAATGCTCCACATTACCGTTCCATCCGTCCACCCATGTCATAAGAAAGACCAACCCAAGTCAAAAATCAACGTCGGTTCGATCTCAGACTCAACGTACTCTAAATTTTAATGTTAACACTCTTAACCAAATCAGTTGAAAGTTCAAGGGTTGAGCAGTTCTTCGATCTGGCCTTCCAAACCCTCAGGTAGGACGAACTGGTAGAGGTTGAGACTGAAGGACCACCAGAGGCGGTCTTTGAGGGACTTTGGTTATTTCTGATGGCCCTGGCACCTGCTTCCGTTTATCTTGGCTAACATTTTGTACTTTACATTTAGCTTACTAGATGTATTTTTAAGTCTTTGGATTGCGTAGGTCGTCTCTTTCTATGTTCCGTTGATTATTCGCCACATGTTAAGTCATACAATTTGTGAACCAAATAATTTTCTTGTATTGGAAAGCTGTTCCACTCACTCGAGCTATTCACATGTACACAAGTTGCCATGTACTCATGTTATTAGGGTCAACAAGAATCAAACACGACTATGATTTGCCATATACTAACCTACTAATTCCGTGTCGGAATTAATTTGTGTTACCGAGTTGTATTACATGATCCTTCAAGGCCAGTCAGCTAGGCCTTGAAGCATACTAACTTTTTCATCATGAGCTGGTGGAATCATCTGTGATGACAGCAAGTAGCTTGAACTCGCGCTCCAAGCTCCACACGAACTCATTCTGACTGTTGACACTTAAGTTGTACTCCTGGAAGTACCCATTGTAGCTTATGATGGAAATAGTTGCCCTGAAAATTAAAATCCAATAGAAAGGCATTCAAACCTAAACAACGAAACGATTACACGAGAGAACTACCTTAACTAGTATTCAAAACTCGACTGGACGAAGGTGCCAACAATTTTGTTCCCCATGAGTGAATATTGGCAGAGTTTTTACTTGAAACTCAGGGAAATGGCACCTCAAATTTCTAAATCATTCGTGGAAATCTGGTAGTAATTCATGGCCCAATGATAATGTTTTGCAATACCATCCTCTGCATTGGGTACGTGAAATACTTTGTACATTTATTTACTAAGAACTCTATTCAACTGGCTAATTCAGTACCCAAAGTAGTAGAAAAGTATAGAAAGGAGAGGGAGACGACTGAATCACAAATAAAAGACTTCAAATATATAAGACTACATACAGACAAGAACCAGTAACTAACCTACAAGCCACAATTTCTGAAGTTGATGTATCAGCAACCTTATCTACCTTTCGTATCACTGCATAGCTGTTAAAAAGTTGATGAAATAAGTAAAACTAAACTGATTTTGTAAATTATTACTACAGTGAAGACAATTCGCCAAAGGTTATGGGCTTTCTTAGAGAAGGCGGGATAATATCATACTAGATATCTGGGTTACCAAATGTCCAAATCTGATGTACGGTCTACAATCTAAATTGAATCCACGGGAAATTGAAGAGCAAGGAAACATAAATGGAATCTAAAAGAAATCGATTCCATCGCTTAGCTGGAAATTTATAAGTCCATAGCAATACCACAATATTCACAATGTAATACGGATTCTTACAAAAAGAAAATTCTCTTGATTAGATGGGCAGTTGATAATTCTATATCAATCACACATATCGCTGCTTCTTAAATCTCTATATGTAAATTTTGGTGTCCCTTATACCCGAAAATTTTGAGGCTCACGTTGTGCATCACAAAGTCTATGTTTTTTAAAATTTACCCTCAAAAATAAAAGAATCACCATTAACAAAACTATTAAGTTTCACATAGTGCAACACACCCTCTATATCCAACTCTGGAGTTGAAATATTTGATATAACAAATTAATCGTCTACAGAATTCAAAATAATGAATAAAAGACAAGGCTGGACAGAGACCAAGGTGTATTGCACCAGACTCAGTTCGGGGCCTTCGGGCAAGGTCTGATGGGAGCACCTTTATCATATTTTATAGTTATGCTTTAGTTTCTTAGATTTAGGCTGCACTTAGCTTTATGCCAATTTGGGAAACTAGAAATGCAAAATACTTTCCCTACAAGTGGAATAAAGAAAATTTCAATTGACTATTTTAAATCTAAGCAACAATGCTGGTGCCATGCTGTTAGCAGACTTGCGGTAAAAATATACTATGGATACAGTATAAAACATAATATGGATTCAGTGTGTAAGTTACAAGTGGTCCACCTTTTGACTCCTGCCGGTGCAGCATTATGAAGTACATCATGATGTGCCGGATCTAATGCATCAGTCACAGAGTCGGGTATAATTGATCCAAGAAAACTCCCTGATCTTTTGCTTCTGTGAAGAGAGTGAAAATACGATCACATAACTTTGCACATGTAAATGAAAAGGATCGGCAAGTAATCTCTAATATTGGAAAAGTAATTAGACATGAATTTCATGAAAGAATTTTGTACGTCTACAAATTTATAGAGCTTACCTTTTCAAGGTTCTTACCAATAAAAGAAAAAGTCGCTGCGATATTTAATGCATAGTTTACATCTACAAGGAATTACATTTGGTTGATATGTGATGCTGAAAGTTGATGACAGATTAATCCATACCATGAAGCAGGATAGGCATCTTTAGATACAAAATTTTGAATTTCAAGTACATATTCCTCTTTTTTTAATAACTTTTCTGTCCAGTTTTTCTTTCCTCCTTTTTTTAATAAGTTTTTTGCACTCTTTTTTATTCAATTCAATATGAAGATTGAACAGCAAGAATAATACATCAAATCAAATAAGCATTAAAGGATTTGGCAGAATATGATTTATAGTAATACAGCTTTTCCTTTCCCTTTTATGTCAATTGCACAACGTAGCAGAAAATAAATACCATTGAGAAAAAAAAAATAATAAGCAAATGTTACTGAAGGCCCATCAAGCTTTAGTTGTCTTCAGACATGAGAAAAGTGAAATCACATAAATTAGACAAAGAACAAAGGAAAGAAATCTGCTACAAATGACGAGGTAAAGAGAAAGAAAAGACAACAAATAAGTGGAAAATGAAAGATAAAAGGACTGGAAATATAAATAACAAAAAGAGAGACTTTTTAGGATATATATACAAGATTATGGCTGTGTAATATCATAGGAAAAAAGTAACTTATATTCAAAACCCATAAGCTATAAGGAACCAATACTTAGCATGCTATAACATTAGCCATTCACATCTATTAAGACTTAATAAAGCACGTGCACAATCAGCACAATCAGTTTGGTAGTATTATTAGTAGTTTGTGTTGTCTCCAAACGGGAAAGTTCAGTTGTCGTTCTCACCTTTGATAAATGGAGAACCCCAGAGAAAAGGCATGAACAGAACCTGAAGAACTTGTTCCCACAAGAATATCTGGCAGTTGCATAGATGGCCCAAATGACAAAGAAAATATAGTTGATGGATATGTCCCTCTTCGAAAGCTATACGACTGCCAAAGAAGGATCGGTTAGACGTGCATTTAACTTGTAAGAAATTACAGGCAATTAGAGGTACTGCCACAACTTGGCTCAGTGGCTGTAGCTTATTACGAGTTAGGGAAAAAGATGATGCCTATCACGACAATTCTTATGCACTACATAAATATAGATATGCGTGTGGGTGTAAGCTGATCGCATTGTTCTGAAAAGCCAAGAGCAAGTGATTCTGACCTCAAGAGACAGCAGACTTTCCTTTTCTCTTAAATTATGCAAGGGTTGTTGAAATCAAAGTTCTTAGTAGGATTCAAAATCACACACTTTTTAAAGTTCGATGTTTCTATAAACAAATGGGAAAAGGAAACTACCAAAACTATGGTTTATGCAAAAAGAAAAAAAAAATCCATCAAACTAAAATGGTACTGTACCCTCAAGCAAAGGTTCTCCACCTGCCTTTGCAGCTGGTAATACTTTCTAGCATTCTAGAATTGACAAAGCCCTGAAGCGAATTCCCTCTACTTAAAAAACAAAAAATAAAAATAAAAAAACAAAAACAAAAAGGAAAGGAAGCTTAATGGAAATTTTGTTTTTGGGCGTAAATCCTAAGGGACTTCACCACAAGGGTTTAAATCTGAATTTTTTTTTTTACCACAGGGCCTCCCTTCCGAATACCCTATCACCACAAGGACCATTTATCCAATTAGGCCAAATAGGAAATACATTATTTTCCTATTTCCTTATAGAATAGGAAACTTAATTAGAAAATAGGCATGTAAACCGCACCCTATTCTTATAAATTGGGTGCGGCAAGACCAGAAAAAAGGGAGAAAAAGGCCAGAGACAGCCAAGAGAAAGAAGAGGGATTAGATTTAGGGTTTGCAAAAGTACTGTATGCTCTATCATTAATTAAGAAGCCGTGATTTCTCTACCCAGAGAAATTAGAACTGGGCGTAGGCAAAAGTTCTGTCAAACTAGTATAAATCTTGTGTCTTTCCAGTCATTCTCTAATTTGCTAAGTTTAGTCTATTGCCAGATACATCAAAGAGCAACATCTAGAGAAGAGTGCAATTTTGAGGCTGACTACAGAAAGAAAGTTTGCCAAACTTGAATTTGTTGAAGCACAATACATATGATCCATATAATCATATTAACTAAGCCCGAATGGCGGTGCCAATAACAATCCTCTTCATATTTTGCTATTCTTTACCTTAGTTGCTTCTGAGACTAGATGGACTCTGATAATGGTTCCCTGTTCAGATGCTGTTGCTATGTAGATTCCATTGGAAGAAAGGGCAATTGCAGCAAGTGGGGATCGATGCGCATCTATCTGTAAATAAGTTCCAAGGATACAAATAATATGAATTAGGAAATGGAAAGAGAAAAATCATTTTCAGCATATATAATAATTAACTTATTAAAGCAAAATTGTTCGTTAATGTTTGATATGTAAATTCCAATTCACAAAAGTGGTTTTTAAATATGCCCACAAGTTTTCAAAATGAAGCTGCAAAACATCCTGATTTGAGGATTTCAACAAAGCATAAATGCATTTAAATAATCATACTGCATGCAACTTGCATGAATAAGTTTTTAAATTCTTGGGGATTAAAAGAGAAATATTTTGATCTTGAGTGTGCTGATGAAACAGAACCATGAAAATGACCAGCAAGATAGAAGAAAAGACAAAGTCATTCAATCTTTCTCATTACTCGAAAAAAAAAGAATACTCACAATTCATGCTGGAAATCATTATTCCGCGAGTATAATTAAGTTAGGTAACAAAATGAAGTGTTGTGATATAAACTTTATCATCTTTCTGTTATGTATGAGAGAGAATATCTTATGCCATAACCTCACAATGTAAATGCCGGTCCATGACATTGTACAACAACACAGATCCCTTCGAGATGCTAGCAGGAAGAGCCAAAAAGCACCCTTCCAAACTTGGTGAGAATGCACAAAGCCCTGATAAAAACACAATGATGTTATAACAATAAACACAATGATTGTTGGTAGAACAGAATATAAACCGAGTACAGGTACAAAAAGAAATATGACCCAATTTCACCTTTTATATTTGGTATAGTATCAATAGTGTCCAAGATTGCGAGACTATTTATGTCATATACGTATGTTTTGTCCTGTAAAATGACAACAAGTCTGCACTTTCCAAGAAGGCATACAAAATTCATCAACAACAAAGGAGAAAGAATTGGAGTCCAATTAATGTATTAACATGATACTCCTGAAAAAACATGATACTTATGAAAAAACCACCTCACATAATACAGAACCCCGATGCCAAATATGCCAATTGTCTTTGTTATCATATCTAGACTAAAAACTTATGGTTTTTTTAAACAAATAAAAGGATACAATTCGCTGAAAACGAAGATTACGATAGCAAAGCCAAATTGATGGATCACTCATCATTATACAATGTGCAGGTTACCTCTTCTTATTCATGCGAACAGCAAGTATGGAAGTTAAGAAATTTAATTCTCGAAGAGCAGTTGCAGTTGTGGTATTGAACAAACAGAGGCGGCGGGGCGATAGGGATGGCTGGGGGCAGTCATACTGTGAGCAAATATTTGATGGTCGAATGGAAAGAGTAAATAACTAGATTGTGCAGCGTACCTCTTCACCAGCTCCAACAATGGCAAGAAGACTAGAGCTAAAAAGCATTTCTACTATAACGAAAGCTCCAATAGCTATAAGCAAACCACAAAAAATAAACTTAATTAACCAAACAGCTGTACGATTTTCCTTACAAATTAACAACCGACAGAAAAGAAAAAGAAAAAGAAAATGAAAAACTTGCCTCGCTCATAGCAGAGTCTGCCAGTACTGGAATCGAATATTTTGAAGCCGCCCCTTGTGCCGATTGCAAAGCAACTGACGGATTCCAACGGATTACAAATTTTATTAACCACAAGAAAAAAAATCAGAAAAAATCAGGAAATGTGAATTGAATTGAATTGAATTGAATTTTGTTTCACCTGGTGTCTTGGTTGAAGGAAGCGCAATAAATTGGGTAAGGAGAGGCCATGTCGTTACCTTCTCCCTTGTTCCTTTGGAAATTTTAATGTAATTTTGCAATTACAGAAAGAAAACAAGGGGGAGAGGAAGAAAGATACCGGAAAAATTGCAAGGGAGAATTTAGAGACCCGGACGAAGGCTGGGGTTCCCACTTAAATCATGTTGGGTAGGATATGGGCCATTCCTACTCCTTCCACCCCGACAAGCCTAACAAAATCACAAACCGACCTCGGGTGCTTCTACTATGCGGCCCAAAATCCAACGGTTGGGATCGGCCTAGCTCATCAATAGAATCGGATCTTGTTTGGGATAAAATTTGAACTGTGGGTTAAAAAGGGGTTAGCTCAAAAGAAAGCCCAAAAGAAGATTCAGAAAAAGGAAAAGTCCAAAGCCCAGCCGAAGCCCAGAAGAAAGAAGGAGCTTGTTTCCCGACCAAGTGCAGATCATTCAAACCACCTGCTCACCTACCTAGAGGTCAAGTGGTGTAGACCAGCCAGCTAATCAGCCCAAAAGTACTTTACAATGGCAGTACAAGTAAAAAGTTGATGAGTCATTGCCCTTCAGATGCATTCGGACAAAATCAATACTGCAGACAGCCAAGCCAAATCGTCTATAAAAGGAGGAAGAAAAATCAGAGACAAAGACACTCAATCAAACAAACAAATACAAGCACAAACTCTGCTCAAACTAGATTTTCCTTCACGAAGCTGTAGTCAGCCCTCAAGCCTTCATCCCTTTCGGGATCAACCTTCACCAGAAAGCCTTTGTAAAAGCTCTGCTACCCTATTTAAATCTTCCTGTAGTATCGATTCCCTCATATAAACTCATCTTCCAATCTCCCCTTCTAGCATTCGAACCCCTTGTAAATCACAAAGAGAGGAAGTTGCAAGACGATCAGCCTTGCCCGACCTCCTTTGTTTTTGTCTTTCATTCATATATCTAGTAATATGATGTATATTTCCATCTGCATCCAAGTTATTTCTAGCCAGTTTATGATTAAAAGACTTCTAAGTTCTAACCATTCGGGCAAACAAGATTGATCAATTAAAAGTCTTTGGTCTCAAGGCATAAAAAGAACCCTATGTGGACTTAACCCATCCACGACAATCTTTGATAACAAGAAGTCCGAAGTTACTTGGGGCGCAAGTAATTAGCTTATTCTCTAGTTTTACTTCTGTTATATCATGATTGCTACAGAACGCTGGAGTATAGAATTAACTCTGATAGGAAGCCTCAAGGCCTATAACTAAGGCCTGACAAAGGCACCTATCTGAATTCGTTCTGCTCTGCGGGCTTGGGCAATTAAAGTATAACAGTTGTGATACTTCTGCAATAATGAAACAACCAATATATGTTCAAGTATTTGGTTAGTTTTGACGGGAAGCCTCAAGGCCAACATTTAAGGCCCCACAAAGGCACCTTTCATAACTAACTTGGTCTCTCAGACATATATATACAATAAAACTTAACATCGATTTTACATCTGTCATGCTAAAGATGGTAGTGGCACGCCTGGGTACTTAAAGTTAATTTTGATTATGAGCCTCAAGACTTACACCTAAGGCCCCACAAAGGTACATTTCAGAATTAACTCTGTCCTTCTCTTACAGCCCGCCAATAAGCAGAAGCTCGATAGACAACATCAACCGGCGCCAACCTCTCGGGGAGCTGTGTGCTCGTTAGCCAGGCAACGTCCTCATTGGATATTCCTCAAGACGAACAGGTCTTTAGGTAAAACTCGGTGTGATTTTATATTTCGTTTGGAAAAAGAGAGAGTTGAGCTGGGGAAGAGGAGGAGCCTAGAACCCTTGTCGTCGTTGGTGTCGTACTTGTTGTCGTTGATAGTTCGTGGCGCTGCAGCGCTGCGTATTTAGTAGATGCCTCTACTCTATGTTTCCTTCTTTTGAGATTGAGCTTAAAGTTCTAGACTCTAAAATTCGAGTTAAGTTAAATTTATATCATGTTTTTTATTTCGTGAAATTAAATTCAATCATGTTGGGTTGTTATAACTTAAGGTTATTTGGGTGGAAATTGAGATTATATATGGTGAAATTCTTGTTGGGTTGTGATTACTCTGGTTGTGTTGTGTAACTTTGAGGCTGATTTTGATTCGATCATGTTTTGGCTGTTATAACTGGATATTGTGAAAATTCTAAAATTCGATTTTAGTTATGCATTGGTAAAACTTTGGTGGGTTGTGATAAGTTATGTTATATTTGGGTAGCTTTGAAGTAGCAAGTTGTTGATTGGATTCTAATGGGGGATAGCAGAGAAGTAGACGAAAATATTAAAGAAAGTGAGGATGTAGATGCAGAAGATGAATTTGGTGCAGGGAAGGCTGAATTTGTTGGTACCAAATGTAAACGACGAGTTGAAACCCAAAGTGAATATGAAGTTTGATTCATTTGAGGAAGCTACTTGTTTTTCAATAAATATGCACTCACAATTGGGTTTGAGATGAAGGAAAATATTTGAAAATCTAAGTTCATTAAGCAACATAATGCATGCATTTAACAATTAAATGGTGGAAACATGCTTGTAAGCACTTTAAAACAAAAGCCATAAACTTTAAAGAATGGTGAACTAGGGCTGAACTAAAAAACAAAGTGAGTTGAGAAACTTATATACTTTTGAAGCACCTTTTTGCTTAGCAAGTGATATTCACCTATGTGAGGGAGTTCTTTTCTTTGTCTCCTTGCTCCTTGGCACCATGGATGTGGATGTGGATGGAAGAACCTTGCTCCTTGACTCCATATCTTCTTGGATTTGGATGGAAGAATGAATTCTCCAAAAGCTTCTAAAGTTGGTGGCCTCTAAGTTCCGACACCAAAGGATAGATTGAGGGAAGAAGATGAGTGATGTAGGAGGAGGAAGATACTAATGTCCCCCTCCTACATGATTGGCCTTCTAGAGAGAAAAGATACGAGAATTGTGTATGACGTTGAATATTGTGAAAGGACTTTAACGTCCTTTATGTTGAACCAACTGGAAAAATTTCAAACCAAATTCACCTGATCTTCTAAAGTGTTGTGTGGAACTGCAGTGAGTTTGGAACGTCGGGCCGAAGATGGCAAACACTGCACAACTTTGACTGGGTTTCAAACGGGAAGGAAGTTTTTGAACCAGAAGAAGGAAATCGTCTACAAATTTTTTGAAATCGTTCGCAAGAGAGAGAGAGAGAAAGAGAGTTTTGGGGGAATAAGGCAACAATTTTAAGAGCGGTAATTATTTTTAGGAAGAGGGAGAGTTTAATTGGAAAAAATTTAGCCCTTGTCAAGTACCATTTTTATTTAATGATAGGTCATTTGACCCTGAGCTTATTTTGATTGATTTGTTGTCGGCCGCTCAGATTTGATTCAACGGACCATATTTGGTTTGCACCTTAAAAACTGCGTTTAAAAGACAAGAACTATTTCATTCCGAATTAAGACATAATAATCTTCACAATTCTAGAATGAATCAATGGGTAAATTGGTTAAGGGTTTGGTGTCTGATGTTGTTATGGGGTCCATTTTGGTTGTTTTTAAAAGAGTTGTGATTTGGAATTGTATACGGGTGTTGTTGCCCACTACAACAATTGCTTGAGTGCTTTGACTAGTGACCACTCAAGTGATGTTATGTACCTAGTTATTAGTTGGATCATTTGTCAGAATCTGCTAGAAACTGTTATTTGATAGTTAAATGTTGGAATTGCTTGATTGCTCGTTCACTTGCTTGGATTGCTTGTTCGCTTGGATTGTTTGTTTACTCATTTGCTTGGTCCTTCAAATTGTTCGCTTGCTTGGTTGCTTGTTTTGTCCGCATAACGAAACTTGCCTTGTCCATCTAACGAAACTTTTCGTGTGGTATATGCGTAGGGGAGCTTGTCTTGTTGTGTTTGCCTAACGGTGCATCCTCAATTTCTAGTTGGCAACCTCGTGACATGTACCGCCATAAGTTATGATGATGGTATTGAAAAACTATTTATATATTTTATTGTTGGATTGGGGTCTTTCCTATTAAAATTAGATATTCGTTTCTTTGCCTATTGGGGTTGAATTTTCCATATATATGTTACTTTGTAACTCTATAGAATATTAAGTCTAGCAAGATGTAGTCTTACGAGTTATGCAGTTGTCTCGGCAAATTTATAGTGTATTGTTCCTTTTGATGAATAAAGTATTATTCGTAGTTTATATTTCCTTTGTTCATAGCGTACTCTGATTTTCAATTGTATTTAGATCTTTTGCACAAGTTTCAATTTACAAGGTCAATAAATAGTACCATTAGTATATAATATATTAAATATTTTAGCAAAGCTACAGGAAGTTCAAAATGATACTTTACTGATCTCCAAAATCAAATGGAAATTTCTAAATCGTGTGTAGCTCGTGATTAGGAAAAGAAAGAAAAACAACAACACAAGACATGTGTTTATAGGCACGTGCGCCATGCAAGAGTAATAAAGTGAAACAATCAACGTGGATAAATACATTTAGACCATCTCCAACCCTTGGCCTAAAACCTAAAATTTTTAGCCCACAAAATTTAGATTTTAACTTAAAAACAGTTTTTTCGCTCCAACCCTTCTGGCATAAAATTTTAGCCCCAGATTATTAAAGAATAAATTTAGGCTAATTTTTTTTTTTAAATTAACTTCAAAAAAAAAATTGTGTAGACTATCCTAAATTAATTTTATGAACATTTTAACCTAAAATTATTTAAATTCCGATAAATATTGAAAAGTCAATGAATCAATACATGAAACTCATGAAACACTATGGAAGAATATGAAAATCATGATAGAGATGTATAAACATAAAATTTATGAATCACACAAGACACACAGAACATATATGAAGGACATACAAAACACATGATAGAGATGTATAACACACCAAACATGCGAAACACATGACACACACGAAACACATACCAAATCCATACAAAACACATGAAACGCATGAAACACAAACCTTCAATCATCCTCTATATAAGTATAGGTTGAATATCTAACCAACACACAACATATTCAACAATCTTCCAACTTTCATGGTGTTTTTCTCCTCCTCAAAATCATCAATATCTCATCAATGAGTGATAGAAGAAGGCGTAGCTTGACAATGTAGATGGCACAATACCAAGCAAGCCTTGCGACTGTGGATGCAAAAATG